CAGTCTGGTTAGTAAAGTAGCCTACCGGGATTTGTTTGGGATGGTTTTAATTTGTATTTGTTCGTAATATTAGTTGAGTAATATGGTGGGATAAAAATGGCAAAAAAATTTGTATCTTATCACTAATTAATTCAAGGTCTGACAAAGGCAAATTCTTTGCAAGGAGAATACCAGTTGGTCCATTATAACCAGTTAAAACTTAAATCAATTTTTAATTTCCGAGGTAAAACATAGCTCTTTTGGCACTGATGACATTGTGATGTTTTCGTGTGAGAGCTTTTTTCCTCTGACAATAAGTTAAACCATATTTATTGATGTATAGAGTAGTCAGAATTATACCCTCACAGTTAATTAAAATGATATAAGCTTTTTCTGTCTTTGTCAACTTGTAAATAGGTGAACAATAGGTTTGTAAGCAAGATTACAAATTAACAACTTATTATTCCAACAACTAGTTTCAACTTCAACATAAATGCCAAATTAATGTTCAATTTATTAATATGTGTTTATTGTAAAAAAAGTTGTTGTAGTTAGTGACAACAATAAAAAAAAACTAAATTTTTACATAGATTTTATAAGCGATGTATTATTTTTGACATTACCCTATAAGAGTGATTGATAAATAATTACCAATACCTTATGGAATAAGAAATGGTTATACTACTACATTAACTTACCATACTACTATTAACCCAAGTAAAAAGTTCCAGCGAGTTGATATACAAAAAGTTCCCTGTCCTAAATGTTGTGAAATAACGTTATGAAACCCTTATAACAAAAATAGAACATTAGAATCACACACTTAACATAAGAAACACACTTTAAACACAAATGCAAATTGTTAACAACAATATTTAAACAAAGAAAATTCAATTAAATAACAATATAACATTAAGCTGTTAAATTATTAACTCATTTTTCGTATGATTAGATTATGCATACTGGTAAATCAATTATTGTCATCTATAAAAATAATTGGTTTTTCTTTTCCGAGTCGGGTTAGCTCTTCTACGAGACCGATTTTCATAATTTTGGCCTTAAGCCGGGTTTACACTACATATGTAGCTAAACCTGCTACATAGCAGATTTGTGTAACAGCTAGCAATGTTGTATAACAACATTTGCTTGAAGTAGAAAAAGTAACTTTACAAAAGTGCTATATAACACTGCTATATGTAGCAGATCCTGCTATATATATAAATTGTGGATATTTATAGGCATGCACTGTGGATGCGATACTCCCTGGTGTGGATTAACGTCCGCACGAGTGAGTACTACGACTATCCGCAGTACTATCCTGATAATTCACATTAAAGAACTCCTTCTTGAACCTTTTAAAGTCGAACTAAAACAATGGCTGAGTAGGAAGTGTTTTTATTCCATTGAGGAATGCTTTACTACTGCAATGGACTTTTGAGTATGAATCCGGCCGCCATGGAGTGTAAATATTGTAAATATTAGTTTATTAATTCTTAAAAGTAAATTTTATCTGACAAGATCAATCCAGACATCTGGTCAACGATCGCCAGTTGGTAATGGTAATGGTAATGGTAATTAGACCAATTCGTATATACCAAGGCGAAAAATGTGGTTCGGATTCCACTATAAACTGTAGGTCCCTTAGTTGCCATTAGCTGTATGGGCTATTAATTAACATCTGTGTCTAAGGGTATGTCAGCCTTAGTCACTAACAAGACTACAAGATCGCGCCACTCATCCCCATTCATACTTGGCTTAAAATACCTACTATGTATGGTCGCCATTTCATAAAAAAGTATTAAAGTATTAAGTAAAGTATATAGCTAAAATTGTGCTATCCATCGGGAGTCGGTAAATATCAAAAGAAATACGTGCTATATCTAACCTTGCCATATGTAGCAATGATATTAGGGATGGTCAAGTCTCGAAATTTCGGGAAATTTTCGGGAAATTTTAAATCTCGTTACACGAGACGAGATTTCTTTTTGGCCGAGATTTTTATCGAGACGAGAATAAAAAAAAAAAAAAAAAAAAAAAAAAAAAATTAAAAACGCCTGCAGAAAGTCAATGCAATACCCGCAATACAGGAGCGTGTTGTAGTTGCGTTTCCTTTGCGAAGGCGTTCTTATTTAATTAATTCTTCAAAAATGTAAATATTACTTTAATTATTTTAATAACATTTGAGAAGTTTTGTTAAGTTGTTAACAGTGTGAGGAATGTTTTATTACTATAAAAAAGTCAAAACAAGTAACTATTTTATAAAAATTAATATTTTATTTTATGATTTATTTTATTTTAGGATAAGTTGAACTCTTTTAACTGATATCACTATGTTTCCTAATCGTAGGCATTTTTAATAATTTAGGTGTGATTAATAAAAAAATGTTATGCTGATGTTTTTTAATAAAAGATAGTAAATATCCTTGCCTATTATCATTATTTTTGTATTTAAACAGTCATCTAACAATGTTACAAAATCAGGTAAAAATTCCGAACGTGCATTTCCCGTTGTGTATGAGAAGGGAAATCCCGTCTCGATCTCGTCTCGAAATTTTATGAGAAATAAAAAATCTCGTCTCGTCTCGTCTCGAACTAAAAATTCAATCTCGTCCATCCCTAAATGATATACATATATTTTTCGTCTAGCATCTGCTATATGTAGCATTTAGTGCACACAGTTCACAGTTGTAGCCTCCTGGGTGCGAACGGTTTTGCTCAGCGATCTTTGTTTACAATGGACTGGAAACAGAAAATATGACAGTGCCCAAGATCGGGATGATATTATAAACTTAATTGAACTGTTCCGTGGACAATAGGCGTTGTGATCATACGTAAAACGTTTTTGAAGTTACCGTCGCCTCTTTTAGCGTTTTAATTATGGATTGTCAGCGTATTCATCATCATTAAGGTCCCGTAATAAATCTGCTACACTGTACTTATTTATCGAAGCAAGAAGCGGTCAAACCTAAAACTTGCTAAAATCTTCGCTCCCGTCTGTCTCTCTCTCTGACTTCCAAGATCACCACGATAGCTGCCACGAACAATGTCTCTTCAGCGCACATTTCTATACGGAATCAATTAAGACAAATGGAAATTTGTTTAGTCTGCAGGTTTGGTGCGGCGGGGGTATTTTGTACTACGTTCGTATTTCTAAATAGTGCTTATAACCACTATTATAAAATTTTTCAGCATTAAATTTCCTATAATTTGATACCCAAAAAGTCATTTTTACAAATATTAAAATTTTGACACTTTTTTTCAAGATGGCAGCCAAAAAACGTATTTTGCGCCACAGTACGGATGTATATTTTTAGTATGTTGATTAGAAGCATACTACCTACCATTCACAGCAAAAATCATTTGTGTTGCAATTAGTTCCACCTTAAGCTATATTTTCGATTATTTCTACTGCACTACATCACCGACAATGAACATCAAACAAAGAAATCAAACCCTAAGTAGTCTTTTTCTTTATTTTTACATCTGCACTTCACATATAAACAATAAAATAATTCAAATGTAATTTTTTGTTTTAGTTGTTTCATTAGATTAGTTAAGTTGTTTTAAATTTGATTCATGCAGTTGTTTGCGGAACAAAATGTTCATACATACTGTTTTTTTTGGCAGGGAATCACCTGCTAGCAGCAAGGAGCCACCCAAGGAACCCCCCAAAACTCCTTCAACTCCGGCAGAGAACTTGAAAACTCCAAACAAGACTGTGAAAACTCCAACAGTCAAACTTGCAACTGCTAGTCCTGTGGTCAAAAAACGAGCTCACCTCATCACAATTGGGCCTAAGGAATCGCCCAAGCAAAGTGCAACGACTTCCATGATGAACTTTGTCACTAAATCAGCGAAGAGTGATGAAACTGAAAGTCCTAAGCAGGAGAAGAAGGTGGAAGAAAAAGTGAAAAAGAGAATTACTCCTATTACTTTGACATCATCTGTTCATAAACTCGTCACTCCTGTTTCCCCTAGTTCCGATGATTGTATTGTCATAGATGACTAATTAGGCAGCCTCTAGCTCAATGCCTTTAAGAGTAATATTTAGCTGTATAATATTTGTATAGTTTTCTTTTTCCTTATATATTTTATACCTAGTATATTTATAACAAAATAAATCTTAAACTGATCGATTTGAAGAAGTTTTTAACTCAAAAACCTCTTTTTGCTTATTTTATAACATTTAAGTTATTTATTTGTTTTGTCTTTATTGTTTGGATTTTGTTTGGTAGAATATAATACTACATGACTATTAACTACTCATAAGTATCTAGATACAATTTTATATAAATAAATAAATTCAGTAATTTTCAGTAAAATATGCAGTTGGAATTGATAAAAATCTTTGTAATTTGAAATAGCATTATAATAATTAAAGTTAGTTTTATGTTTTTCGGTCTATTTCACCTGGGCTTTGGGCGACCAGTGTTTATAGTGGTAGATCACAAGTTAGTAGTAGTAGTCAGACCAGTGGCTGAGCTAGCCAAAAGAGGTTGTTTTCCAAGCCAGGGAGGATACAACACAATAGATTGAGGGGTTGGATTCTGTGGTAGATTTGGTGTGAGAGGCCCAACTAAAATAATCAGCTAATGGCCTGGTGAAAGTTTTTGGGGTAGGAAAATTCTTTTTAAGCACTTTTTACTTTTACTCATCCTTGTACTGTACTTCGTATGTGTCTACCAACTGAAGGGGTAGCGAGCTGGTCTGTTAAAGCGCGGGACTTGTGTCCCTGAGGCCCTGGGTTCAAATCCCGCCAAATCACCAAGAGATTTTGTCTAAGTGATAATGCCGCAACCCCTAGGCCTAGCCTGAAGTAATGTGGAAAACACCAGGCTCAATTCTAGCGTCCTAGGGGAAAAAATGTGTCTACTTTTATAAAACTTTTGTTTTCTATGTTTAATATGAAAGAGTTTACAATGAAAGTAAGTGTAATAAAGACAATGAATAATCCAGGAACTCAAAGGGCTTAAGGTAACTTGACCAATTTGAAACACTCTGTAGATTTACAAAGTATTTTATTTACATTTGGCTTTCATTTGACTTTCTGCCAAAAAATAGTGGATAATCTAATATATACATAAAATACTTGGTAACAGAAGAGGACTGCAACTAATATCAGTAAACAATCATACATTGAAATATTATAAAAAATATTTTACATACTAAACATTCTATTAACAATTGATAAAATATTAAAAATTGTTATTTTTGATATTGTGATTACAATAGTTTTTCCACAAATAGATGATGGCACATAAAAAAATACAGCGAAACACCTTGTAATACTGATAGTGTTTTGTCACTACAAAATCAGCTAAACTGTTGTCTAACATAAATTAAACACCTTTAAGCAGGCAAACGGTGATACCTTGTTGTATATTAACTTCAATGGTTACAAATTTAAATTTTAGGGTATTGTTGTAAGTAAAGATAATCCCTCAGTTTATAACTCTATCTTAACAAAATCTTTGTAAAAACAATAGATTTCTGAGGTAGATGTGATTTGAATAATTTGAAATATTTATGAAGTAATAGAAAGCAGACATTTTTATTTGCATATAAAATTTATTTAAAAAACTACGTTGAGTTCACTAAATGACTGATTAAAATGTCTTTGTATAATATATATTTTATTTTAATAATGTAGTGAAATTTACAAATGGCACTTATGTTTATAAATCTAAATAAATAAGCGTAAATATACTATAAATATGTATTTATGTAGTAGAATAAAAAACTGAAACTAAAAAAACACAAGCATTTACTTGAACGCTTTGTTTGTTTTTCTTGTTAGCAAAACTAGGCAGATTAATGAGGTTCTATACAATTTAAAATATGATTAAAATAATTTGTTTTCCTGCCTGGCTTAGACCTGGGGGATGTTTAGTAATTTAATCTTTCCTTTTTTCAGACTAGATATACTTTGCTAAACATATTCATCATTCTATGTTCACAGTCTTCAACACTTAATTACCACAATACACTTTGTGACTAACATTAAAAAAATTTATTTTACCAACAAAAAGTTGTTCACACTAGAAACATGTAGAAAATACTCGATAGAATGAAACTAAAGTTTTACAACCAAAGTATTGTTTTGTTGTTGACTTTTGAACATTTTGTTATCAAACTAGTCAACTGATCGATGGAAATTACAAAAAAACTGAAAAAAGTAAGTCATTTATGTCTGTGACACTATATTGAGAATTTTAAAAATCAAAGAAACTAGCCAAAAGAGTAAATATCATTAATTGCTGCTTCTTAGATCAGCTTATACAATGGAGGTCATTTTGACGAACATTGTCATTTTCTCTGCCATTTTTCGGTATATATTCTTATTTCTGTGGTTAGTCTCAACCACAAAATTTAACTAAAAGCTACAATTTTTTTATAAAAATACTTGATCCTAGATGCAAAGTCCCTATGAATTCATACATTTTTATTATGCTATTCTTTTGGCATTGAAATTCATACCAATAAATACCAATTGGAAGCAATTGTATCAGTTGTAGTTAAATGAAACCAATAAAAAATTGTCACAAAAAAGGTTCTTAGCTGTACATTTTCAGCATAAGATGAATAGTAAATCTGTGATGTTCCACAAATTCCAAGAAGTAAGCACTTTTAGAAGATGAAGAACTGACCACTTTCACATCGTTATCCTCACAAAAGAAAAGTTCATTAGAGTTAGAATTAAAGCTCACAAGAGACAGGCTTACACAAGTCCTGCACTCATTCTTCCTCACTAATCTCAGTTCGTTTGTTCTTCCCTCGTTTGTTTTTCGCCCGTCTTCTTTTGACCCGAGGAGACACTTCGCAGCTACATCCACTTCGGACCCGGATGTAGTCCAGCATCCAGTTGGATCCTCCGGAAGGGAAGGAGGGAAAGTGGTGTAATCTGTGGTTGGTGTGGGTAGAAGGTGATGGTTCTCTCACGATAGCGTACGTGTACGAGTACTTCTGTACACATCGGGACTGGTTGTGTAGTCTGCGATCCATAAAGCGGCATGGTTTGCCCTCTACACCGGCTCGACAGGAGAGCTCGTAAAACCTTTGCCTGTTTTCTGCTTCGGAAAAGAGTTCTACCAACAAGCCTGTAATAGAGAAGATAATGTAGTGTGGGTGCACTTTGTTTAGGAATAAGTCTAAATTCACAATAAATATATCATGTATGTTGTTCAAAGGTTTGTTCTTGACATTGGTCATCACTGATTTGTAAAAGGTTTTAGGGTTTGGAATTTGACTTCTTTAAGAGTGAAACAACATAGAACATGACAAGATCAGTTAAAAACAGAGCATTGCCAGGTGACCCCACTTCTATTCAGAGTGAGTCAGATTCCAGATCAGCAACATTGTGACACTCAGGTGTTTTACTACAGTCGGGACCACATAAGTTTGCAGTTCAGGGAGGAGCCTATTTACCATATGGTTTTGAATGAACCAATGAGAACGGTCCGGTGTTGCCAAATCTAATAATACCAGCTGATTTAAAAATATTGCTTTGTATATTTTAATTAGTGTTGTCAATGGGCGATGTGGCAACGTCACACTTTGTATTTTTATTGGCTGCCACCAACTGCAAAATTTTGTGGTCCCAACTTTAGTCAGTGATGAAAATATCCATTATAATTCTTTGAGCAACATAAAAACACCATCACCAACAATGAACTTTTTTAAGCCCATGCTTGTATGACATGCTTGTATAAGTATAGCTGCATAGACTATAGTTCGGCCGCTTAGAAAGCGACCTCCTCTAGCATTGGTTTAGCATTAGCGTGCAGGTCGCTTTCTAAGTGGCCGAACTATAGTGGATATAGTTAAGCTGAGTGATAATTAGTAGGTTGCTGTTTCAATCCTGTAAAAGCCAGTCACTTCTGGTTTGTTTAAAACTGGACTTGTGTGCTCTTGATCATTGGGCTTATTCAAAAAGATGACGTGCTAAAGAAAGAACTGATTTTATCTTTGACAATTATCCAATAGTCAATGATTTTATTCAGTAAAAAACTGTACACACTTTCACAATTTCACACTAATCCTTCACTGTATCAGGTTAAATATGCAGCAACGTGTCTCTGTAAGCATAGTGATGTAATGGTAACAAAATACTTCCTTGATATAGATGGACTAGTTGTTTAAGCTTGGGCTACACTACACGGGAAAGGATGTGGACAAGACAAGGAAAGGAAATGGAGAGGAAAGTTTTTGAGCAATCCTTTCTGTGTAATCAAATTGAAACTGCTACACTAGACAGGACACAAAACAACACTTGCAGAATCTGTTGAATCCTCAAAAGAGCATTCAATTGACATTTTCGCTGCCTGCCGCATACAGTCCCTTGAGCGACACTAGGCAGGAAAGGAAACAGAAAAGAACTAGGGAGGAACTTTCTGGCTGTATGTAGTGGTCTGTCGGAAAATGTACGGCAGCTCGCAAACGTACATTATTGAAATTGTTCCTGGCAGTTTCCTTTTTGAGTCCCATATGTAGTGTAGCCCAAGCGCCAGAATTTGTGTTAGTTTCTTTTCGTGTCTAAGGCCCAGGGGCAGTTGTTAGGGAGGCTCCACTGGCTCACCAAATGTTACTTACATTGTCATTTGAACAGTTTACTGTGATTTATGTTTGGAAGATATATGGATTAATAAATCTACCTACCATCTTGGTTAATTCCTCCTTGAGGCTCCACCATCTCCAGTGTAGAGGGACAACAGTCTACTGGAAGACCCTTCTCTCCTCCCTCCCTCCTCAGCACCACCTGAGCCTCTTTATGTGACAACCACCTGCTGCCTGCCTCCACCGACATCAGCTCTTCTCCTTCCTGTGACCTGTCACAATACAACGAATGTTAACAATAATATCTTTCCTCCCTCCCTCCTCAACACCACCTGGGCCTCTTTATGTGACAACCACCTGCTGCCTGCCTCCACCGACATCAGCTCTTCTCCTTCCTGTGACCTGTCACAATACAACGAATGTTAACAATGTCTTTCCTCCCTCCCTCCTCAACAACACCACCTGGGCCTCTCTATATGATAACCACCTGCTGCCTGCCTCCACTGACATCAGCTCTTCTCCTTCCTGTGACCTGTCACAATACAAGGAATGTTAACAATGTCTTTCCTCCCTCCCTCCTCAACAACACCACCTGGGCCTCTCTATATGACAACCACCTGCTGTCTGCCTCCACTGTCATCAGCTCTTCTCCTTCCTGTGACCTGTCACAACAGTGACGTAGCCAGGGGGGGGTCCTGGGGGTCCGGACCCCCCCCTTCCGATCCAAAATATAATATTTTTTTGTTAAATTAAACGTAAAATTATATAATAATACTGGATTGACGTTGGGTTTGATTATTTTCAATGCCAGGAGAGCTAAAAAATACCGTTTTAGGGCCTATATTTTCAAATTTTTCCCGGACCCCCCCCCCTTCTTCTACCTGGGCCCGGTCGGTCGACCCCCCCTATTTTGAAATTCTGGCTACGTCACTGGTCACAATACAAGGAATGTTAAAAATAATATCTTTCCTCCCTCCCTCCTCAACACCACCTGGGCCTCTCTATATGATAACCGTCTGCTGCCTGCCTCCACTGACATCAGCTATTCTCCTTCCTGTGGACCAGCCACAATACAACGAATGTTAACAATAATATCTTTCCTCCCTCCCTCCTCAACACCACCTGGGGCTCTCTATATGATAACCACCTCTGCCTCCCTCCTCTTCTCCTTCCTGTGACCTGTCATGATACAAGGAATGTTAACAATGTCTTTCCTCCCTCCCTCCTCAACAACACCACCTGGGCCTCTTTATATGATAACCACCTGCTGCCTGCCTCCACTGACATCAGCTCTTCTCCTTCCTGTGACCTGTCACAATACAAGCAATGTTAACAATGTCTTTCCTCCCTCCTTCCTCAACAACACCACCTGGGCCTCTCTATATGACAACCACCTGCTCCTGCTGCTTGCCTCCACCGTCCTCTCAAAAACACAGAATTTTTTCAAGTTGGTTTACAGTATTCCCAAGTTATCCACATCAAAATTTGACGGATTTAGTTACTTTATATTTCTTCATTAACGCCTGACAGATTTGATTATGACTTGGCACAAGCGAAGACCCAGGTAATCCACGACAAGGAGGATTTAGAGCTGTGATGTAAAATCTGGGATCTAGGTGCATTCATCTGTTTGTCCAACAAATCTGTTGGATCATTAATAAAAATTAAATGAAAGGGCTCTGATATAGGATACTGTCCTGTAAATGGTAACATGTTTTGTGTCTTTGGAGCAAAAAAAGTAGTGACAAATATATTTTAGGCCGCAATACATTTTCCCCCTGTGGTGCTATTAGTATCATTAGATTAAGACAACACACAAGGTCAACAAAGTATTTTAAGCACGTATTTAAGCTGGATGAAATATTTGTAAAATGAATACATATTAAATCAAGTGTTCATGAACTAATATCAAATGTTTAACATTATGGTGTGAAAACGCACTCGAAAGTCTACTTGCTGAAGCAATGGTTTATAACTGGTTTTATCATTGTACTGTATTTAGATTGTGAGTGCCTGCAGACTGAAGATACAAATTACGTGTCGGCAGGGACCTTTCCTTCTTGTCGTTGCGGTTTGTAAAATGCAGGCGCCAAATTAGTCCGTAATCTAAATCTCTATACTTCAATCATAGATATCTATGCTTCAATGAAACAAACTACTCCGAACCATATAAGAGCGATCAACGTAATATCATTAAACAGTCAAAGGTTGAAACAAAAATCATATTTTAATAGGCAAAGAAATTATAATACATCTAAAAATGGCTGTTTCCGGAAGGAGGAGTGAGAAAACACCAAATTAAGTATTTTTATCTCAACTTGCGTGCGTAATAACGCAAAGAAATCTTGACCTAACAACATGTGTATCAATTATGTGTGGATGGATAGTAGTCCAGTCAATGAATGATCCAAAAGTGGGTGTAGAGTGCGTGAGCAGGTAACTAAACGATTCCTTCAGAGACTAATTCAGGGGGCTTAGGGTGTTAACATACCAAAAGTCCAGAGTCCTGACTCCTAGGTGGTGAGCCAGGGGGGATGGTGGGGGGAAAGGGGGGGAAGGTACGCATTTTGGGGGTTTTGATTATATCTCGAAAACTATAAACTTTTTGTATACTATACTAAAATATAAAATTGAAGAAGATTAAATTTTCTACATAAAAAGTATATAATGTGTTTATTTTGCTTAAACAGATTACGAGTTATTACTTATTTAATTGATATCTTATTAAAATACTCCTTCCATAAGAAATACATGTAAATTAGTATGCGAAATGGGGCGAATCCTATCCGCCCAAAGAAAATATAATCGATATTCTGGAAATCCTGACAAAATTTCCAGTAATTTGACACTTAAGTCATAAAAATTGGTCCAAAATTAAGGCGAGGTCGAGGTAACAAAAATGTCGTGTTTTGGTGTTTATTATTAAGAACTAGCTGGCCCGACAGACGTCGTCCTGTTCAAATGTGGTTTTATGTCAAATGCTATGTGAGCTCGTTCGCATGGCTCAATCACGTCCTGGTTGAAGTTCGTTCGCTACGGTCACTCACCTTTTAATAAGATATTTATGAAATTAGTAATAACTCGTAAATTATTTAACCAAAATAAACACATTATATACTTCTCTTATAGGAAATGTAATCTTCTTCAATTTTATAATTTAGTATAGTATACAAAAAGTTGATAGTTTTCGAGATATAATCGAAAAACCCAAAATGCGTACCTTTAAACCCCCCCCCCTTTCCCACCACCCCCTGGCTCACCACCTAGGAGTCAGGACTTTTGGTATGTTTAATCATTTCGAAAAACTATCTGTGTTCAAGCTCAATTTGTATATGCCAACACTATAATTAGTTTAGTTTTAGTACTGTAAACATGTTTTTACCAATTATCAACCATTAAGACGGGGACGCAAATTGAAACCAACTAAAATAATGTTGCAAGTCTCAAAACCTAATTGAAACGTCGTAACTTCAACCTGAATTAAAAAATAATGGCAAAATTCTTGCCAGAGAGCAGTGAAAGAACGAAGTAATTTTTCAGACAGGGCGTCTAATAACGACTTATTCAACGCAATACTTCTACTCCCGTCTCTTTTCACTCGCCATAATTTCTTTTTAAATGTTTCCTGTTTTTATTTCAAGAAATAGTCGTAAATGTACGGATGGAAAGAAAAGTAATAAAATAGCGAATCCCAAGTTGCCTTCCTCCTCTTCTATCCGAGTGTCTTACGTAAGGTGTTATTTATTTAAATACATTTACAATCTGGAATGTTACAAGAAAACTACTTATCTTGGGCGAAAGAGGGGGGAGCATTAGACCAATGTCGTAACAGCTGAGTTAGATAGCTCTGTCGCTTGGTTTACGATGCGATTTAGCATTCAGCCAAGGCGGGAACTGGAACTAGAGATGGTCATTCGGTTGTAAAGTCGATCAGTCATGTACTACTATCGATATAAATAATGGTAGTTATATCGGGTACTCCAATTGTTAACCATATATGGCAAAATTTACATCTACAGGTTAGGCAAAAGTCTGGAACCCCCCAGTTAACTTTTTAACGTATTGCAGTAGGATAACCAAACTCGGCACATATTTACAGGGGTTCCAGACTTTTGCCTAACTCTGTAGATGTTAAAGAACCAGAGGAGCAGATGTAACAGATTTATAATTACTAGAGTTCGTCCAGTGGTCGAAAACTCGACCACAAATTTGTACAGACTTCTCTATTCTTTTCATTTGTTTTGATTTTCTGTTTATATTTTGTTGTTATTTCGTCCCCATCATGACAGCTTGACAGCCCATAAGGCCCATGTTAATTTGTTTTTAATATCTTTCTAAAAGTATGCGTAGATTTTTCCTGCGATGCACAGGAGCTGAGAAAAAGGGTTTTCAATAAATATGCTTGTCTACTAATACACAGAATTAGCACTGTGTTAAATCTTCACAAGAAAAGTTGAATTTACATTTTTGACCCAATTCACATTAAATATTCTCTGCACATAGGACAGATAACCTTTCTTTTGGTACAATTCGCGTGTAATTCGGTCCAGTAGTATGTTCAGGCTAGCCTTTATAAGTTTTGCAAAAGTGTTTAAATATATAAGATTGTTTAAATTAGATAGGTAACAAATCAACCAAAACATTGCCCGTATAAACCCCACTTTAGTTTGTACAGTACTTCATAATTCTTCCGGCACACATTCGATTATTATTTTTTCACTTGTATAGATAGAGTATACAAGTTATATTATATATCGTTATTCATCCGATAATTAATAGTATTAATCATATAACCTAACAGTGGTTTTGATGGTACAGTTTTTGAGGGGAGAGGTAAGTTTTATAGGCCTATGGTTTTATACATTCATCATTGACTAATTGTATTGAAGTAGCCTTCAATGACTACAATTCCCCATGGACCAGCTGCGTTACTGTCAAAATTATATTTTCTCTCTAATTTTTTGTTACTTAGATAATTGATGTGACATAGAATATACTTAGTTGTTCTTTCAGTTTGGTCTGGTTAAAGTATCGTGTAATAGGTACCTATATAGAATATAAGAATATAAGAAATAGAAGATAAGATAACCTATATATATATATAAATACCTATATAGAAAAATCAACATCAATGTAGGCCATAGGCCTTCCTTGTCTGTGGATAAATTCAAGTATATTTTAATTGAATCAAATAATTGGTTACATCTGGTACAAATAGATGGAATGTCTACTTCAGTATCGAAATGTCAATGGCAGAACAAACTATTCTTCATGCAAAAGTAGTCTTAATAGTCTTATTAGTAAACATGAATTTAAAATACGATCCAGGAAACAAGCATGAGAAGTACATCCAGGAGTGGGTGGAGCTTGCATACTCACCAATCAAGATTGAGTTCTGTATTGTTGTTGCCAGGGTGACGTGGCGTCCTAGTCTGTGATTGGCTGGTCGAGTACACTTCTGAGAATCGCGGAAATAAGCAAGCGGCCAGGAACAGCACCTACAACATGCGACAGAGATTAGAGCGACATAATGAGCCTGTTGTGCGACATGTTGATGTTGGATCGGCTCCAGAGATCACAGGAATGCTGATTTTATACGCGTCATAACGTACAAGAGTTGTTTTTCTCTAAAGTGATATTTTGCGCTGATCAGATAGCAACTGAAAGGGAGTTTGTTTTTGTCTTGGCAAGTGTGCACAGGAGTTATCTAGGAGCAATTGGAATGTTGTGATTTAAATCAGTTAGGATTGTTAATTTGTACCCGAAGAATAGATGACCTTATCTTTGGGTGTCCAGGGTACCCTTCTAAGGTTATTTGAGGGAATTCATCCTTTCGGTGCAAATTTTACGAACATTGGACTGACATGGGTCCAAAATGTAATTTGCAAACCACCATAGACTGCTGATCTGTACAGTTATCTTAAGACAGTAATGCAATTTTACTGCTTGATTATGTCAGATGAGCAAGCTAGTGGTGCAAAAAAGGTCTTGAACCAGCAAAGCAAAACACCCCAAGAATTACAATGTGCATGAATAAGATCAACAGATCCTTATTTCGTAGTTATGGAGAGTCCATTTTCCATTTTTATGGTCAATAACAAATTGGCAATTGCACAAGACATGATAAAAGAGGTGTTCTTCCGAACAGCACTCGGCTCCTTTTCTCTTATTCAACACTTGGTAAACAAGAACACGAGATGTCTTAATGGGCTTAAATGAATTGGACATTAAAACTGTTAACCACAGCTCACATAGTTGGTGGCATTACTATTACTAAAACTATTATTACCAGTTAAGATGGGGACACAACCGGGCGTACTAAAATGAATGGGGAGGGAGTGTAAAACGGGATGAGATGACATTGGTAGCTTTTGTGACTGACTTCAATCCGCGGTTTCTTTAGCAAGGACCATTTATCAGAGACAATTGGGTCCAGTTTTTAACCATGAACAAGTAACTGAATTTTACTTTGATCGTGCTGGAGACCAAAGATTGATCATGAGGCACTATTACCACTCGACCGTCTACGTGTATAGGTGCTTGGTACACTTGGTGAACAAGATCACGAGAAATCTTCGTGGACTAAGGGAAATATGCTTTTTAGACAATTATCATTACTGAGATGTGTATGCCACCTAGGTACATATTTTAACCCAAATATGAGTGAAGGATGTGTGTAGAATGGTGTGAGATGATCTGTGTAGCTTTGTTACTGACCATCAGGGTCATTTATTTATAGCCCGATGATCAGGGACAGCTGGGTCCAGTTCGGCCACCAAAAAGCTACTGTTTATCAGTATTAACCGGCGACCTTTTGATTACCAGGGGAACACTTTAACCACTTAGCTACCTAGCAGTTCATAGGTAGAACCAATAAATCGGTAGAAGTAAAATTAACATAATTAATTAAGTGCTTATCGTCAAAGATGTGTCTTAGTACATTTTTGCTCGCCACAAAAGCGAGAAGGTTTCAAGACCAGTGGGTGGTCCTATGCGTGATCTAACAACACCGTATTTGTAAATGAATAGTCCAGACTGACTCACGCACACGCACTAATGCCTGTGTGATTGCTACTCTGTCACGCACACAAACACGCTCGCGCGCGCGGCAGCCAACTCGTGTGTGATAGACTGATAAACTTCATGTTCAATTACTTGAAATAAAAACCAGACAAGCAACACCTGATAGTACTGCGACAACAAAGTCTTCAGAATTTGCATCTGATTGCGTTTAAGATAAGGGCGGTACAGAGGAGGAGACGTACCTGGCTTGGTAGACCTCCACTTATCATATTGTTTATTGTTTACTGTGTCCGATGTAATGTGAATATCACCGTATCCTAGCCGTCCCCCACGTATTACGACTCTCACCTATGGCAATACACGTGTAGTTTAAGGCGAAGATGAATTAAGCCTGAGTAGAGAGTGCATGGCGTGAAAGCTGTGTTATTGTTTCCCATCGTCCTTTGCGATTTTACAAAACTAAATTTACTTCAGTAAGAAAAATTGAATAATACATAATAGTTATGATGTTCAGAAATCCGTATCTATATTATGTTCGTTTAACTAAGACTTTGAAAATAAAAGTTGTTGGACATATTAATTTAAACGAATCACCAATACTATTTGTAATTCGTAATAAAAAATACATTTACAGGTGCTACATTACATTTAAGGTACATTACGTATAATAATCTATAATGTATAGCCGTAACGTTTCATCGAGCTAATATAATAAATTTCAAAATCATCCAAAACATTAATCACTTTTTATTTTTTTGTTTGCGTCTTATACTAATGTTGTTGTTGAGTAATAGTCTAACAACAGTAGGATCAATCAATTTATAACATTATCAAATAACAGTAACATGACGGTCACAGGATGTTTTCAACCAATGATTTGAATTAGTGTATCCACGATATTTTCATAGCTAATTAAACACCGCTTAAAACAATTATTAATTCCTAGAAATATTTCACACCCAATTAGTTACGGTTATTTCATCAGGTCATCAATTGAAAAATGTGCAAAAAAAGACAAATAAAACTCATCCTACTTGATGAAGCCCACTGGGTTCGCACTAATAAACTAATTGCATTTATTCAGACAAACGCGCGGTGTGGTTTGTTCATTCAATTAATTTGTGTTCCATTTCGCGAATCATTTCGGATCTACCGAGCACGTTTCTTGCATGGAATAACTCCATCCTCGTCGTGGGCAATCACCCCAAGCGTGACGTCATACATAAAACCTTGGTTTATATTTCCAACAGTATTCAAAATTTGCAATAAACCTGGTCGTTAGTATAAAAGTCTGTTGTCTGCAATCGTTTTACAGCTACAGAGACTCGAAAACAATTTCGCTAAACTAAATTCATTTTGTGTAAACTAGTTGGTTTACCTATGCCATTGACCATTGGATACTGAAGTAGACATACATCTATATGAACCAGCTGTCACCAATTTTATATTAGAACATAGCATAGTTGGGTGAGCCAGAAAAATAATGCGCTAGTGTCTAAAATTATATTTTCATCCTTATTTTTTTTTGCTGACATTATATGATGGTACATTACACTTGCTATAGCTCACAACAAGTCGTTCCATCAGTTTGACTTGGTAAAATTGCTGGTGTATTCGACAAAAATTAGTAATTTACATCAGCACAATCTGTAAGTGGCTCACATAAACTACAACGATTTTTTGTAAAAACTGGTGGCAGCTTTAACATAGGGATGGAATATCTGGTTGTATCAATAGTCAAAGCCGATGCTTTGCGAAAGAGTGTCCTCTCAGAATGAAAATAAGCAGAACCTAACGAACACAAATTTACACTGGGTCCTAGGTCAGTACCACAATTGTAATACTAATATGGTCGGTTATCATGGTGGAAGGATAATCAATTATATTCAGTTACTTTTACCATATATAAAACATGGTTAGTCTATGCTTTTCACTTTTGAGACATCCAGTCCAGTCCATAAGGACCAGCTGTAACAAAGAATTTACTAAACACGAACTTTTGTGTTGGTGTATCGCCGTTTGTAATAAATAAATAAATAAATAGTCAAATGAGCCAGTGACTAGTGTGCAACAATCTCAAATTAAATATCCATTATTGATTTTTGTCGCGGTGATAGTTGACATACTCTTCCGGGGCAAAAGATATACCACGTATTTAAATAAGATAACGTATTTAACATAAATTAGTAATTTAGGCTACATCCGCGCACTCTATCGGTGTATAAATTCAATTACGTCAATTTTTATATAAAAACAGACCACGACTTTAACTTGGGGATGCAATATATATTTCAATGTAATAGCTATTTACCTTACAAGTGTAGTAAGAGCGTTTTTACATCACGCAGGTGAATGTTTACCGAAGTGATGTAAACACGCTCTTGCGTAACGTGTAACGTACAAGATTTTACCTGACCCGACAATATACAGGAGGTTACGAACAATATTTTTCATTATCCATTTCACTCATCTTCTAACAGTAACGTTCATTTACAAACAAAAGCTAGGTTTGGAAAATTCTTCAAAACATAACAATAAAATTCAAGCGCACAGCTGATTTCTAGCGTTGAACACGTCGTTGGCTCCATAGAGGTATATTTTTTAAGTTAAGCACTCAATGTTATTTAAATGGGTTTCATTACATCACCGAGTGAGTTTTTTTCAACTTTACATCACTCGAGAAGTAACGAAGTTATATACATCACGCTTGGGATAGGGAAGTTTAACATGGCGGGTTAGGTAAAATAACAAATTATAACTCAGGTCTATATAAAAGTCTATGTATCCAAGTATCTAAATTTGTGGTTAATGCTTAATCCACTTATAAATAATTAATGATCATACAGCATAATTTTCGAATTAATTACGAGTTGTACCTAATTTATTTTTAACAAGATCATGTAACACACCAACGAAACTTTCAAACTTAAATTGACAATCAAAGCCTGATTGTACGACCGTATTTACATTTTAAAAAAGTTGGTCTTAACTGCACATGCAAAGCATGTCTTTGTAACATTTTGCAAACACAATAAACTTAGTTATTCTCTAGCGTGAAACATTCTCTATTAACAGTGTAAAGCGCACTAGGCGAGTCGACCGTGAATGCAGTGAAACATAGCAGAGCTGGAGTACTTTATAGCAGCCATTACACCAGGAGAGCACGATAGTGCTTTACAGGTCAGTAAATATGTAAAGTAAATACCTCTGAGCTCAGCCGGCCGTACAACACATACTGATATGTTTTATAGATAATGAGTTAATTTTAAATTCCATTTTGATATCTTAAAGCATAAATACAAGCAGTATCAACAGTTTATTTGGGCGTTAACCAGGTAACCAGATGGGTTGGGGAGGGGTTATAAGCCCCGAATTATGAAATTGTTTGAGGTAAAAGTAATATTCCAGTCCAGAGGTAAAAGTAATAAATGCAGTCTAAATTACAAAAAAAGGTATAAGCCCGTTTTTTAAGGGG